CTGATCTCTTCCTGAATCCTTGGTTAATGATCCCTGCTCAATCTCCATATGGCTAATTGAAGCCATTGGGGCTCTGGATTTCCCTCAGTCAGGGGGCCCTATTGCATCCAGAGCCCCAATGGCTTCAATTAGCCGTATGGAGATTGAGCGAGGATCGTTAACCAAGGACAGTTTCTCTGTTAAAGTCATAGATACTATACAGGCATCTACCAATCGCATTTATGATGCTACTTGGAGGATATTTTGCACTTGGTGTAATAAGACTAATTGTTCGGCTATGGAGGCCTCTATTGGGGACATTCTTGAATTTCTGTAAGACAGGTGGACAAAGGGCTATCACCTAATACTCTTCGCAGACAGATAGCAGCTTTGTCTTCTGTCTTATCCATGGGGTCTTTGGAATCCACTTTTTACCACCCACTGGTCCGCAGATTCCTCAGAGAGGCATTGAATCTGCATCCACCTACCGGTCCACAGGTACCCTACATGGGATCTGTCTAAAGTCCTGTGAACTCTTATGGGAACTCCCTTTGAGCCTCTGAGAACTATTGGCCTTTGGTTTCTGACTATTAAGGTAGCCTTCTTGGTGGCCATCACGTTGGCTAGAAGGGTTTTGGAACTAGCAACAGTCTCAGAGCAGATCTTTGCATTTTCCACCATAACAGGGTGGTCCTTAAGACTAGACCCTACCTTTGTTCTGAAAGTTAACTCTTCGTTCCATAGAACACAGGAACTGATATTACCAGATTTTTGTCCTAGTCCGATTCATGAACTGGAGAAGAAATGGCATGCTCTGGATGTTTTGCAGAGCATTGAAATTTATGTAAAAAGGACTTCTCCACCAAATAGGGTTCCAAGGCATCCCCAAATAGCTTGTCCACTTTTAAAGGCGCTGAAACCACCTTCCACTTCCTCCTGGCATCCGTCTGCCAGTTGTGGAGCCACAATAGTCTCCGTGCCATGACAGAGGTTGCCATGGCCTTAGTGGCAAATTTAGCCGAATCAGGAGTAGCATCTGTGGTGAATTCCGTGGCGGCTATAATTTTGTTCAAATCCTGATGCACTCTGATGCCTGACGCTGGCACTTGCTCCTGTAATTGTTTTAACAAGCAGAGTGAAGCCTGTGTGAAAAAGGATGCTGCTGTAGAGGTGCGGACCGCCCAGGCTAAAGCCTAGTGGGACCTTTGCAGGATGTGTTCTGAGTACTTATCCTCCCCTTTCAATGCATCCTCTGGGTCCATGGGGTTCCCTGAGGAAGATGCAGAAGTAACCACTGGTGGATCCACTGAGGGAAGTTGCAAAGCCTTGCCCAAATCTTGACCCACATTATAGAATTTTTTCTCTGAGGAGGATGGGTTAAGGCCAGTGCCTGGAGAATCGCATTGCTTCAGCACCACATCCAGACATAATCTAGGTGATGGTAAGACCTCTGCCTGGACAGTGGATTGAGAGAACAGTGAATCCCCCTGTGGCTGTCCTTGAGGAATGGGCTGTATCAAGGTCTCATCCAGGGATAACTGGGCCATATTCTTTGCCTTGTGCAACAAGGACTTGAATACTGAGTGGTCAAATAATCCTGAAAGGACAGGCAATTCAGGAGAAATATCCTCATCTTCTGAGAAGTTTGAGTCCCTCACCTCACCTTCCTCTGCCTCAGAGGCAGCAGAGAGACTGCGTTCAGATCCTTTGATAGAAGTAGTCTCTTGATAACCCACCCATTCGCTATGGGTTAGGATGGGCCTGTCTGGTGTTTCTGGAAACTTCAGGCCTAACACTGGGAATTGATACACAAGAGGAGAGCTGAATGGGATGGTTCCTCCACACCCCAGGGGAAATCCCAGAAGGGCCTAAAAGAGGGTGGATCCCATTTATAATATCTTGCCTAATAGTGGCTGAAATCACCTCTCTCATAGAATCTGACATCTCAGTCCCTGAAGAGTCCCCTGGGCGAATGCCTGCAGCAGTGGGGGTGAAAGTGGCTTCTGCTCGTGACAAGGGCCACCTAAGGGGCTGACTAAAGGCTGGAAGGACAGGTTCAACCCAAGCAACAGGCCTGTTGCTGGGGCCTTTTCTACTCAAATCCTATGGCAGAGCAGGATTAAACTCAGTAGCTCCCTCTGGTGACCAAGAATGCAGAATTTGAATATCAACAGTCTGCAGATCCGCCCCAGCAACAGTGGGATGGAGTGACAGTTGGCTCCGCCCCCCCCCTTTGTTCCCAGCCCTTTGCAAACTGCCATTCAAGGGCCTCATGCTTTCCTTCTACAGATTCTTCTGCTTTAGATTTTTTCTTTGTGGCAACAACCTTGACCTTAATTTTTGCTGCTGCCCCTTGAGCTGAGGAATGTCTCTTGGATCTTCTGTGCCTTGAAGAGGCCTGTGCCATTGCAGGGGATAGGGGCTCTTGTCTGCCTGCTCCCCCTTCCATGATTCTGTTGCTGCCAAACCAGTCCCTTTCTGCTTCAGCCACGCAGGCTAGGGTGAGCCGTGAGACTGCAGAATAAAGCAAGGGATCGATCTCTCCCACCCCGCAATTAGCGCCAGTCAGCTGTGGCCAGCAGCACAGCAGGAGCTTTGGGCAGTATATAAGAAGAGAATTGGTTGGTTAGGGCAATGTAATCCATATTGCTGCTATGCTCGCTCCCTGTAACAACTCACAGTTGGCAAAAGTTGGTTGACTGCTGGTGTCCTCAGCGTCAAAAATGAACTCTGGCCCTGGAATCACCTTGTGGGGGAGAAAGAGCCCTTCCAGCCCCCACACGGCATCCTCTCAGTGCTCCCGGGTTCCTGGGAGCCACTGATCACCGCTTTATTTCTCTAATTTGACTATTTTAAAACAATTTTTGAAGCTTTTGGCTCTGAGAGCATTACAGAACACAACCAGTTCAACAAGCTGACTGAGTCAAAAGTTGGGGTAACCATAGCAACGGTGACAAGGTCAATGATTTGTCAGACTTGGTCATGTGACGAGGAGATGAGGACAATCCACACTAGACTCTCGCAACAGTCTAACAGAGAAGCCTTTCTTTCTCTCCCCGAAATTCCACCAGAATGGCACAGCCTTTTGGAGCAGGATGCCTTGCAGGGTCCCAAAGACTCATTTCTGGTAGAGTTTGGGGAAGAGAAAGAAAGACTTTTGCTGCTTTCCTTGCATGCAGCCAAAAGCAGAAGAAAGAAGAGGAAAGAAGCAGCCCGGTGGCCAGATCAGGCATATGGGGCGAGTGGGGCAAGTCCCCCCTCTGCCCTTTCCCTCCTCCCCTCACTACCTCATGTTGTTCACAATGCAAGTGATGCAAGCCTTGTGTTCCCATGAGCCATGTGGGTGGTGCAGCCTTGTGTTCCCGCGCAGTCTGGATTAATTGCTTTGGGGGGTGCTTTGAGGGTGACATTTCTCTGCGGACCACCAAAATTTTCTCGTGGACCACCAGTGGTCACCGGCCCACCAGTTGGCGACCACTGTCCTAAAGGGTACAAGTTCAAGTACAAATAGTTCAGGCAGCAAAGTATGGTATCACTTTCAGCTTACCATCTTTCTTAGTAATTATAAAATACTTAAAAGGAGGCAGGGCATTATTCCCCTAGAGAAACTCTAGAACCTATGAGATAGAACATAGAATAGCATTGGAAAAGACATTGGAGGGCTTCTAGTCCAACTCTCTGCTCAAGCAGGAGACTCTATACAATTCCAGCAAATGGCTGTTCAAACATTTCTTAAACCCCCAGTGATGGAACTGAAGGCAAGTTAGTCCATTGCTTGATTGCTCTCACCATTAGGAATTTCCCACTTAATTCTAGATTGCTTCTCTCTGTGGTAAGTTTCCGCCCATTGTTTCTTGTCTCGCCTTCTGGTGCTTTGGAAAATAGGCTGTCCCCCCTCATATTTGAAGGAGCCCCTCAAATGTTGGAACACTTCTATCATGTCTCCCCTAATCCTTCTTTTCATTAGGCTAGACATGCCCAATTCCTGTAACCCTTCTTCATATATTTTAGTCCTACCACCCCCATCAGTCTCAACATCTTTTTTACGTATATTGTGGTGACAAGAACTGGGTGCAATATTCCAAGTGTGTCCTGCTAAGGCTTTGTAAAATGGTACTAGAACTCCATGTGATCTTGATTCTACCCTCTATTAATGTAGCCTAGGATTGCATTGGCTTTTTTTGGCTGCTGCAACACTGTTGACTCATATTTAAGTGATTGCATCAGGACTTCAAGATTCCTCACACAATTGCTGGTATTGAGCCAATTTTAACCTAGTCTGTACCTATACAATTTTTTTCTTGCCTATGTAAAACTTTACATCTATGATAAATTTCATTCAGATAGGGCCCAGTGTTCAAGTCTTTCAAGATCTTTTTGGATCTTGAGCTTATCTTCAGGGATGTTGGCTATTCCTTACAGCTTAGTGTCATCTGCAAATTTGATGAGTTTCCCTTCTAGTTCC